CATCATCAAAAACTTCAAACGCCATCATGCGCGGCCTGAAAAGTGACGCATCCTATCACTTCATTGTTATTCTCCTCACATGAATTCACGTGCTTCTTCTAATCAGTTGACTTGCGCCGCCTATTGTTCATCCCAATTTTCAACTAAGTCGTATTTCCTCTTTTGGCTTCAATTTCTACTAGGGTCAGCTCTATAATGCCCTGCTCCCATGTCATTAGTTGATGCCAACGCATGTCATCCAAGCCTCTTCACTGTCGTAAGCCCTACACTTATGTGCTACATCTATTAACGTCATCGTTATTAGTGCTGACATCAGCCCTAGTTGTTCTAGGCTTCCTAGGGTATTTCACCTTCCTAAATATATTAGTAACCTTTGTTTTACCTAGTTCTACTCTAACATTGCTGGATCTTCTTGTGATCCATTATTTGATCACTTCATGGCTTGTTCAGACAATTATTCTCAACATGGTGGCTCTTCTAGACCACTCATGACTTATAGTTGATATCACTCTTCAGCTCCCTTAGCCTACGTTACTGCTCATCGCCAGCCACATAATCAACTTTCTTTGAGTGGCAATCCTAGACCCCCGACAACATACAATCAATATCAATCTTCAACTCAGTTTGCATCTACTATAGTTGCCCCTGACTTATTCCCCACTCTTGAACCTTCATCAACTTACACTCTTCAGCACATCTAAGGCCCCGTTTGGTAGAGCTGTGGGAAAATGATTAAAGATTATAGCTTAACAGATTAAAACTTATACCTGTGAACATAAGTTGGTACTTGTTTGGTGGAGCTGTGGGATTATGAATTTAAACAGCAGAGTAGTATTTGGTAAATAAGCTGTAAAATAGCTTTTTGTTATATAATTGTCATTTTTGCCCTTATGAATATAAAAATTGTAATTTTGTCATTTTCTTCACTGTAAATTTTTAAAAAGTTATTTCATTAATGGAAGTTAACATAATTAGTTCCTATATTGGTACATTTTTGCATTACCTCGTTTATTTAGTTATTATTTTTTAATATTGAGTTCACAAGAGAACAACAAAATGTCATTGCAATAAAAATACAAAACTATTAAAGCAATAAAAATAAAACTCCCTAGATATTAGATAACTCCTAATTTCTTCTGCAAATTGACTGTGTCTCCTCACTTCCATCTCGTTGTCATCACCTTTAACATGATTTCCATGGCGTACTTGTTGAGACCTTGATCCTTCCTTATTATTAGGCACATAATCCGTGAATTTATCATAAGAGTCAAATGCAATATCGCGGAACTCACTTCGCCAGATGAAATTGTGAATTGCCATTGTTGCACAAACAAGTTTGACTTGGGTCGGCCACTTGTAGTTTGGTGGGATATCCTTTATCATCGGCCATCTTGCTATCTAAACCCCAAACGTTCTTTCTATTACACTTCTAAGTGATGAATTTGCTTGGTTGAATTTTTCTTGTGCATTTTTTTTTAGGGAGGGGGGGTGACCATGTTCAAATTCAGCTAGATGGTATCTCTCTCCTTTGTAAGGTGCAAGATATCCTTTCATGTTTGGATACCCAGCATCCACCAAGTAAAACTCATGTATTTTAAAATTCCAACAAGAAATTAAAGTAAACAATTATAAATGTAAAAATAAATATGAAGATGTGAGTATGGTGCATCTACTGTAGTAATCCAATATAAAACAGTTACCTCCTTGTGGTTTTGAAAAATTATAACTAGGATTCCTATTTGTATCTAAGAAGATCCGAGTATCGTGTGCACTTCCTTTCCATCCTGGCAAGCAAAATGTGAAACACATATCAAAGTTACATGTGGCCATTGTGTTTTGAGTTGCATATCCCTTTCTACCTATTAAATGAGGTTTCTTATCTAGAGATATATATGCTTTGATGTGTGTTCCGTCAATTGCTCCAATACAATCCTATTACAAAATTTAGAATAAAAATATATTTATTCATTATTAGAAATATCCTAACAACATTAATTATGTGTAACACCCAAGTTCCACTTGTAGTTAATTATTACCTTGAAAAGAGGATAGTATCTACGGTTGCTTTTAATATACGGATGCACACCATTTCTCGGTTGAGGCCTTACCCAATGAATAGATATCATTGTAACAACTTCTAACACCTTCTTGAAGTATTTTGAAATTGTCTCTCCGGAATGTTGAAATCTTTCTTGGACATTTCTATTTCGAATGTCACAGCCAACAATATACAAAAATATTGCAACTTGCTCTTGAACCCCAACTTTTTGTCCAGTTTGAAGGCCATAGTTCGACTGTAACAAATCACACAATTGATAAAATACCTCTCTTTCTATTCAAAAATTTTCAAATATTCTTGTCTGTTTCCTTTCTTGTAACTCTACCATCCACTTCCACCTTGTTAAAGAAGATGTCCTACATGGTTCTTTTATCAAGCAATTTGTCGCATATGTCACTGCAACTATTGCCACCATTGCTAAAAGCATATTATTATTTTGTTATGTTTGAGATGTGCTACCTTCATCTTCAGCATCTTCATCATCATGATTATCATTCCATTCATCGTTACCACTATTACTCATCTCCAAAAAAAACCTACTCATTTAAAGGCTTCTTATTTACTAGTACAAAAATGAAATGAACACACATAATAATATTTATTAAAAACACAACTAATTATTGAAAACACGTTAAGATTTGTTTACCCAAATACCTGGGGTCCAAAATTATTGAAAACACAACTATTGTCTCAGCAAAAGACCCGCTTGAAGAGAGATGAAACACCAAATTGAACTCCACCTAAGGCCAATATATATATATATATATATACTTAAAGCTACCAACTACTCAACCATTCAACTAACAATGAAAGCCACCTAATAAAAAATGCAACTTCCAGTACAAGCATTCAAATAAATGCCACCTACCATTCAACTAACAATGATCGCTACCTAATAAAAATTGCAACTTCCAGCACAACCATTCAAATAAATGCCACTTACTACTCAACCATTCAACTAACAATGAAAGCCACCTAATAAAAGTCCAACATCCAAAATAATATTAATAAAAGTCCATATAAAGGTCTAACATAAAAGTCCAACATTAATAACAATAAGTCCTAATAAAAGTCTTAAATAAACCTGAAATAATAATAAAATTCAGTATGAATAATAAGTCTGCCATACATCCAGAAATAATATTAGCTGCGACAACCTGTGCTGGTCTTCTCTATCTCAATCTCCAACTTCAAAAACCTCAACCAAACTTCATCTGAAGGAAGTGGCATGAAGCACTCACTACGCTTGTCTCTTAAGAACAATCTAGTAGCCCATACATACATGTAATCATCCGGGGACACACCAAGGATGCTTTCTAGCTTCGCCAAACATTCTATAATTGAAGGATATCTTGCTAAGGTTTGTGTTGAAGTTGCTGAAGATGACTCAACCACATTAACTATATGATCAAGTGTCTTGTTAAGTAGAATTACACCAGAAACTTCTTTTTTTGCCTTGCCCTTGTTTGATGAACCATCAGTGTTTGATGGATTTTTTTGTTTAAATTAAAAGGATGAACCACCTTCAAATCAACATCATGATCAAATTCAACATCACGTGGGGTATGAAATTCCTCCCTAGTCTCATCAATGTTAGGCATAACCCCTGAGCTAGGGGCGTATGCCCATTCTCTTATAGCAGCTCCAATTGAGAATAGTATGTCTAGGTCTTTAGAGAATTGCAACAGCATACGTCGAAATTTAGCAACATCAGGATACCTCTGCAACAATTACAAAGGAAAATTTAACAATATGGCATATTTAAAATTTAGTCTGTTAAAAAAAAAAAAAAAAAAAAAAAAAAAGAAGCAAATGCACATTAATCAATTAACTTACCTCCAATTTCTTTGTCCACCACTCATCAGATGCAGAGATAGCTCCAATCAATGTATCACGGCCTAAGCCTATCTCACCCTTAAAAGATTATTCCATAAAGCCAATCATTTTTCAAAACATCCTAATGATTTTTCATTTGTATTCGTTGGTATGCTTTCCAGTAATAGTTTTAAACTTAGTCATTATATTTTCCCACCCAACCCTATCTAAGTGTGTACCAGGTCTATGTGCTACCTTCACTTGCTCAACACAAAGCTTAATGAAAATTTCATTTGATTTTGCATCCCAGTGAGCCTTAACAGATGGTACTAGAGAGGATTTTCCTTTGTTCTTCCTATTTTCATTTTGTGTTTCCTCTTGGGTACTCATTCTATGAAAGAAAAAAAATTATTAAAAACATACTCATTCACTCAATATCATTGCTTGCATTAAAAAATAAGATTAGTACTAAATAACCATACATTGGCAACTGGGATAGACATATCAATATTCACGAAGTACACAGCTTAGTATAATGATTTATGATAAACTACATAGCACAAAAACACATGATCTAAAAGCTACCTACAATCATTTAAAGAGTAATGCAACTAACATAACAATATAAATTGTGAGCAAACCCATAACAAGTTGCTTAATGAATGTTAAGGATTGCTCAAGCATTTTGTTCTTGACTTTTAGTCCTACAGTCTCGATATTTTGATTTTGATAAAGCATTCTCTTGTTCCTTTGCCTCTCTACCATCGTCACAGATTTTGGACCTACTACTCAACCATTCAACTAACAATGAAAGCCACCTAATAAAAAATGCAACTTCCAGCACAAGCATTCAAATAAATGCCACCTACCATTCAACTAACAATGATAGCCACCTAATAAAAATTGTAATTTCCAGCACAACCATTCAAATAAATGCCACTTACTACTCAACCATTCAACTAACAATGAAAGCCACCTAATAAAAGTCCAACATCCAAAAATAATATTAATAAAAGTCCATATAAATGTCTAACATAAAAGTCCAACATTAATAATAATAAGTCCTAATAAAGGTCTTAAATAAACCTGAAATAATAATAAAATTCAGCATGAAGAATAAGTCTTCCATACATCAAAAAATAATATTAGCCGCGACAACCTCTGCTGGTCTTCTCTATCTCAATCTCCAACTTCAAAAACCTCAGCCAAACTTCATCTATAGGAAGTGGCATGAAGCACTCACTACGCTTGTCTCTTAAGAACAATCTAGTAGCCCATACATACATGTCATCATCTGGGGACACACCAGGGATGCTTTCTAGCTTCGCCAAACATTCTGTAATTGAAGGATATCTTGCTAAGGTTTGTGTTGAAGTTGCTGAAGATGACTCAACCACATTAACTATATGATCAAGTGTCTTGTTAAGTAGAATTACACCAGAAACTTTTTTTTTTTGTCTTGCCCTTGTTTGATGAACCATCAATGTTTGATGGATTTTGTTGTTTAAATTAGAAGGATGAACCACCTTCAAATCAACATCATGATCAAATTCAACATCATGTGGGGTATGAAATTCCTCCCTAGTCTCATCAATGTTAGGCATAACCCCTGAGCTAGGGGCGTATGCCCATTCTCCTGTAGCAGCTCCAATTGAGAATAGTATGTCTAGATCTTCAAAGAATTGCAACAGCATACGCCGAAATTTAGCAACATCGGGATACCTCTACAACAATTACAAAGGAAAATTTAACAATATGGCATATTTAAAATTTGGTCTGTTAAAAAAAAAAAAAAAAGAAGCAAATGTAAATTAATCAATTAACTTACCTCCAATTTCTTTGTCCACCACTCATCAGATGTAGAGATAGCTCCAATCAATGTATCACGGCCTAAGCTTATCTCACCCCTTAAAAGATTATTCCATAAAGCCAATCATTTTTCAAAACATCCTAATGATTTTTCATTTGTATTCGTTGGTATGCTTTTCCAGTCATAGTTTTAAACTTAGTCATCATATTTTCCCACCCAACCCTATCTAAGTGTGTACCAGGTCTGTGTGCAGCCTTCACTTGCTCAACACAAAGCTTAATGAAAATTTCATTTGATTTTGCATCCTAGTGAGCCTTAACGGATGGTACTAGAGAGGATTTTCCTTTGTTCTTCCTATTTTCATTTTGTGTTTCCTCTTGGGTACTCATTCTATGAAAGAAAAAAATTATTAAAAACATACTCATTCACTCAATATCATTGCTTGCATTAAAAAATAAGATTAGTACTAAATAACCATACATTGGCAACTAGGATAGACATATCAACATTCACGAAGTACACAGCTTAGTACAATGATTTATGATAAACTACATAGCACAAAAACACATGATCTAAAAGCTACCTACAATCATTTAAAGAGTAATGCAACTGACATAACAATGCAAATTGTGAGCAAACCCATAACAAGTTGCTTAATGAATGTTAAGGATTGCTCAAGCATTTTGTTCTTGACTTTTAGTCCTACAGTCTCGATATTTTGATTTTGATAAAGCATTCTCTTGTTCCTTTGCCTCTCTACCATCGTCACATATTTTGGGGTACACCACCTCCAAAATTGACAATTTCTCTTCTCACAAATGAAATACAGTCTCCCTTTAGATGGCTTGTGAAACTCGGTAACCCTTATGGAAGCTCTTAGACTACAATCACATTTCAAAGCCTCGAACCTGAAGTCCAAGGTCTCAGCACTTCCAGAATAGTTACTAGAGGATGACATGCCTCTGCATTAATTAGGAAGACAACAACTCATGAGCAAGAGTACATACCAATACTTTGTGTATATATATAGCCAACAATGCAACTCCTAACCCATAAATGACATCTAATAAAATGCATTATTTTCAATTTGGGGATCACAAATAATTCTTATATCCATCTGGTCAACTCTCAATTGAGCATTCTTTTCATTTGGTTTAATATTGTGATGAGCTAGTCCACATTGCAAAAAGATTCTAACCTCACAAACAAAACTCAATTTCCATAACTAATGCATAAACTTGAAACTACAAACTGAAATGAAATATTCTCCATTGAATGTGATCATCAATTTGATAAGAATCAAAACAAAAAATTCAAATAATTCTCCACGCTTCCCAAAGTGTAAGGAGACAAATAAAAACAAAAACAAACATCAAGTACCCGTTTGGTTACTGAGAAAATAAAGGCAAAGAAAACAAAATTTTCAAAATCACAAGCCTCAATTCTTTGAAAATATGATAATTATTTAATTAAAAAATTACTAAAATGAGGTAAATTAATTTGTCTGCCTTGTTTGAGGTGAAATTTTAGCTTTTCGAAAACATAAAAAGAAAATCCTCAAATAAAACAGAGGCACCACTCAATTGCACTTGCAAACAAAATTTGTTAGCAAAAGAAATGGCTAAACTCAACCTAACTAATGCACAAAGAGACAAACAAAAGCAGAAACAAACACAAATGATCAGTTTGGTTAGTGAGAAAATGAAGGAAAAGAAAGCAAAATTTTCAAAATTTCAAGCCTGAATTATTTGAAAAAATGGAAATTATTTAATATAAAAAATCACTAAAATTAGGTAAAAACCCTAGCCTTTCAGCTGAATTCACAAACAAACGCTACTTACATACAAAATCTAACTATAGATATTCAAAATCTATCTAGAGAGAGAAAAAAATGAAATAAAATAGAAAGCACAAACACTTTTAAAGAGAGAAAATGAGAGACGAAACGCATTGTTGAGAGAGAAAGAGAGAAAAGGCAAATTAATGAATGAAGGCCAAAATCGAAGCATTGAAGGAGATAACTCTCAGTCCTTGCTAGGTTTTTTTGAACATTCAAATAGTGATGTAAGAGAGAGAGAGAGTGTGTGAGAAAAAAGAGCCTCACGGTAATCAGATGCACATCATTTCACAAAGCAACCAAAGCGAATACAAACCCTGAATCGATGTGTATATATATAACAAACATAGGGTTTGAAATCTTACTTTTTTCGTGGAGATCAATGGAAAATAGGGGACCTCATGAACGATCGCCTGCGATCTTGGATGTGGAGGCAGTTTGTTGTTCGCCAGAGATGAGAGGAAAGGATGAGAGGGTCGTGTGGGAGGAGAGTAGAGTGTTAGGTCTGAATAGAGAAAAGGGTTTATATATTGGCATTTTGGTAATTTTTGAAGTTTTGGAGGGGCATTTAAGTCATTACACCCCTCCATTTCAACTGCACGCATAAGCTGAAAAATTTAAGCACCCCGTTAACAGCTTCAGCTTTTAAGCAGAAAATAAATTAATTTAAGCTATAATATATCTCTATAAGTTCTACCAAACACACCAAAACAACTCAATTTAAGCCAAAAGCTTATTTAAGCTGAAAATAAGTGCTACCAAACAGGCACTAAGCTATTGTGAAATAGGTTTCTTCTACTTCTAGTACACTCTCTATTACTCTCTTAGTCACTTCAAGTATCTCTTATTAGTATTTTGAGTCCACTTGTTGCAACCATATGATCTCTGACACTACAGTTTTCTTTTCTACTGCATTTTCTTTTAATTTACCTGTCATTCACATTGTTGATAACTCTCAAATGCATGTTAGACATATAGGTCATATTTCTACTTCTACTGTCTCTCTCTCTCATACTTATCTAATCCCCAACCTTACACTTAATCTTATTTCTATTGGTCAACTCTGTGATCTTAGCTTCACTATTTTATTTTCTCCAACTAGTTGTGTTATGCAGGATTCGAAGACAGGATAGGCTCTTGGGATAGGTGCAGACATGGTCGTTTGTACGAACTCATCCATCTTCGCATTCCCTCATCCAATCTTTCCTCTATCTAGACTATTGCTCTTGCCATTACTAGTTCTCCTCTTGCTTTATGGCATCCTCAGTTAGGTCATGCATCTTTTGGTCATTTATGATCTCTAGTTTAAAGTGATCAGGTAGGTCTTGTTCCAAATGATAAAGTAGATTGTTTATCACAAAACAACCCGTTTTACCATTTAATACCAATATTTCTATATCTCATGCACCATTTGATCTCATATACTCTAATGTTTGGGGGCATTCACCTAATACTATCATGGGGGAATCTAAATACTTTGTCATTCCTGTCGATGATTTCACTCATTTTACCTAGTTATTTCTTATGAAATCTCGCTAAAAAATATACTATGATTTTCACAAATGGCCAAAACTTAGTTTTCTTCCACTATGAAAATTTTTTGTGCTGCTAATGCCTAAGAATACAAAGGAACTCATTTTTTGAGATTCTTTCGTCAAAATGGCATACTTTCTTGCTATTCTTGTCTTGGTTACCTAACAAAATCGTTGTGCTGAGCATAAACGTTGCCATATCTTATACATCGTCTGTGTTATTTTAATCTCTTCTTCTTATCCTGAGCATTTTTTTTTAGAAGGGGAAGTTACTCTCATAAATGTCTATACTATTAACTGTATCCCTTCCCCTACTATCAACAATCAAACCCCATATGAGCGCTTGTATGGAACACCTCCTGCCTATACTAGTCTTCATGTGTTTGGATGTGCTTGTTTTGTCCTTCTTCAACCACATAAGCATTCCAAATTAGAACTTCGCATCCGTGTGTGCTACTTCTTGGGGTATGGCATTGAACATAAAGGCTATCGTTGTTGGGATGCTCTTTCTTATCATTTTCATGTCTCTCGTCATGTGATATTTTGGGAACACAAGATGTGCTCATTTATATCTAAGTTCCATTTGTCCACTCCTCTCCACTACGTCATTCTTTACAAATCCTTCTCTCCTGTTTGATGAGCTTGATACGAACACTACTTCCAACATGCTGACTCTGGCCCATTTTGAGGATTCTGCTCCACCTATTGGTCTTGCTCTGCCTCCTTTTTCTACTGGTGCTCCACTCCTTACTATTGCTTCTATTCCTGCTTGTGCTCCTACTCCACTTCCTCATCTTGTCTTCATTTCCTTTCACAGTGCGCCTCATGCATTCCTTGATTCCACTGCATTTTCTTCTGCACCTAAGGTATCTCTTCGTCATTCTACTTAGGGTAACACAAAATTTCGTCCTTCTTTGTGATTTCATTATTGGTTCTACTACTTTTTTTTCTTCATGAACCTATTTCCTATTAAGAGGTTTGCTCTAACCCTCTTTGGCAGCAAGCTATGACTGACGAACTACAGGCTTTTAACAAAACTCATACATATGATGTAGTTAATCTTCCTCATAATAAAAAGAGTGATATTAGTTGCAAATGGGTTTACAAGATCAAGACTCATTTTGATGGTTCTATTCAGCATTACAAAGCTCATCTTGTTTCCCGGGGGTTCACACAATAATATGGGATTGACTATGAGGAAACTTTTGCTTCTATTGCTCGTCTTACTTTAGTTTGCAACTTACTTGCAGTTGCTATTACGTGCCACTGGAGTCTTTGTTTGATAGATGTTAAGAATGCCTTTTTAATGGTGTTCTCACTGAGGAAGTTTATATTTAACCTCCTCGTGGTTCCTTTATTCCATCACTCAAACTCTACAAACTTCTTTGTGCTTTGTACAGTTTGAAATAAGCTCCTCGTGCTTGGTTTTCCAAGTTCAGTTCTATCATTCATAACTTTAGGTTCTCTTTCAATGCCTACGATTCTGTGCTATTTATTTGTAAGACAAAGCATGATACTATTCTTCTTTTTCTCTATTGGAAGATA